TCTTGTCAGAAATCCGGTTCTGTAATCAGCGGTAAATCTCCATCACCTGCGGGCTTTCACATTGAGCAGCATTAACTACACAGAGCCGTTGTTCACTGACGAGTTGCGCAAAAAATCGCGCGAATATGAACGTGGTTTTGCGCAGCTCGTCAGTGAACAACGGCTCTGTGTAGTTAATGCTGCTCAATGTGAAAGCCCGCAGGTGATGGAGATTTACCGCTGATTACAGAACCGGCTTTACTGATAAGATGCGAATTAAATATCGCATGCGATTTATCGTGCAGCCCTAGCCTGGAGTTTATTTGCTGTCTGAAATTCCTTTGTAGTTCAAGAGAAACATGAAGGACTGTAATCTGTAATCATAAGTGTGTGCTGCAGAAGAAATGAAATTCTTTGGATGCTCTTGAAGGAAATTCCCTGGCAGGCAAGGAGCATCCGTTTATCTGTGCGCGAGCTGTGGGGGAAGCTTTTCTAAACAGTCTGAACCACACAGTCAGATCGCAGTGCAGCTACAACGCAAACAGCTGGTGTGAAGCCTCTTCCTTTAAACACATGGTCAATGTGGGGACCATCTGAATGCTGACTCTGTCAAATAATATGTGCAATATTTCTTTTGCTGTGTAGTTGGGTACTCTGGCTTTCACATTTCAGTGTGGGTTGTGCTGACTTGGCCTTGAATAGGAAGGTTTTTTTCGTTTTTCTGTAAGTTAAGTAAAAAGTCTTAAATTTAACTTGTTCATGTCTGTAGAAACCCTGTTATGAGAAATGTAAATATATTTTCGGGTTCATTATGAAACTGTCCGCCAAAGTGGAATTAATGGGAAACACTGTTCTGACTAACAGAGTTTAATTGGAAGAATCTTAGCAGTAACATGTTGTTCAGGTCATAAGATTGAATTAAGTTGTGCTGTTGTGCGGCCTGTTGTTGTTGTTGTCACTGACTGTGTGGAATGCACAAGATGTGCTGCTTCCTCATCCAGATCTGCTCATTATTCCTGAATGCCAGCTGTGAAAGTAATGCCTTACCTCTTCTCTCATATTGAAGAAATTATCTTTTTTTCAGAGTTCTGTTATGTGGTATTATACATGCATTGCAGTAGCTACTTTGTTTGATGGTTATATCACTGAGGTTTTGTTTATAG